AAAGGGGGTAGTCCAGCAAGCAGCTTTCTGACATTATTTAGGGGGGGGGCCCTAGAATAATGTCTAGAGATTTGAGGCTTTAAATTTTTTTCCTTTTCTTTGCCTTTTGATTTGCTTTACTTACCATTGAAATTGCAGGTCTTTGGATTGAGATTTCCATTGAAATTTAAACAGTTAGTTCTATTTCCATTGATTCATTCCCTTTTATTGTAATTAATATTCCAGATGTCTTCAAAGTTAGGAATTCTTATTTCCTTTTAATTTAATATTGCCAGAGGTCTTCAAAGTTAGGAATTCTTATGTCCTTTTAATTTAATATTGCCAGAGGTCTTCAAAGTTAGGAATTCTTATTTCCTTTTAATTCAATATTGCCAGAGTAGCTCCAGAGGTAGCTAGCTAAGGATTCCTTATTTAATTCTCAACTGATTGATTTTCTTATACATTATTTTGGAGGCCTTGGTTGTTGAGGGGGGGGGGAGGGGGGGGGGAGTTTATAAATCAAGAGTCAACATTAGAAGTTCAGAAAGAGTTTTGGCAGCGTTCAAGGGTCCGCTTGGGAAATCACCCAGCCAGTCACAGCCACATTCCTGTCAGCCTCTATGGGGATGAGGTTGTGGTCAACCGTCAGGGTGACTCTATTGCAGCCATATATCCGAGTCTGACGCTTTGGAAACCCGAGCGAGTGAGGTGCACACAATATCAGGTGTTTGCCATGAGAAGTCACCGCATTGCAGGCTGTCATACATGTGGCCAATCTTGGGGTTCATTGCGCAATCACTGAACAAGGCCTTTGATGGCTGTGGCAAGTCCGGTTGCAAATTTTCAGTCTCAGAACTGAAGGGAGATTGGGTTTGGCTCAGGAAGGTGCTACGATTCGGGCCATCGTACACAGGCAACCATGTGTGCTTCTTGTGTCACGCTACTGTTCACCTTCACAGCTCACCATTCTGGGACACGGAGGGAAACAACCAAGAGGTGTCTACAGAAATTTATTTGACCACCATGATGGATCCTCACTGCTCGCCAAGTCCTTTGGTCCTGATCATAGGATTTTGCCCTGGTATGATCCAAGTTTGCTCGATGCACACAGTAAACTTGGGGCTGTGCTTTACGACGAATGGTGCATTGCTGTGCACCCTGTTGAGAAACGGATTTTACGGCCCCTCCAATGACGCGTTGAACGGGGCGTTTGCAGACTTCACATGTTGGAGGAAAAGCATTGGAGTCAGATCTAGTCAAAGGCGTTTCAAACCTTCGATGGTGTCTCAGCTACAAGATGCAGGCCAAAGACCCAAGCAGGCCCTTTACCATATTGCAACTGCTTTTTCCGTGCTCATACTAGGGAGAGCGGCCATGGGTTCTCTTCCTTGGAGCTGTCCTGGTGGTGGGTTTAAAGCCTTTGCTTTGGCTTTCGAGTCTTTCCTCACTGTAAAAGAAAAAGGTGGTGGTTCTTCAGGAGCCACTCTGAATCACCAGATCTCTTGGCACCCGCAGTCATGTGATGATCTGATGTGACGGCGCAACCACATTCACCACAAAACTTTGCACTCTCTGCCACTGGCCACTTGTTATGGGGTTGGTCCCTTCCGTTGATCACATTCACGCATTCGGGATGGCCTCTCCAGCGGCCAGTTCGGCCACTGCTGCGTGCGGTGGCCCTTTTGCGCGGGTCCAGAGAGGTGATGGTGGTGATCAAGGTGGGGATCGTGGTGACGGTGGCGGTGGTGGTGAGAGAGTGTGAGAGTGAGTGTGAGTGAGAGTGAAGGCGAGTGAGTGTGGGTGAGAGTGAGAGTGAGTCAGAGTGAGAGAGTGAGAGTGAGCATCTGAGAGCACAAGGTGCTGTGCCTGCCACAAAATCTGCACATCGAGGTTCCCAAGCTGCGCCTGCCACGAAATCTACAGTTCGAGGTTCACCAAGTGCTGTGCCTGCCACGAAATCTGCACATCGAGGTTCACCAAGTGCTGTACCTGCCACGAAATCTACACTTCGAGGTTCACCAAGTGCTGTGCCTGCCTCGAAATCTTCACTTCGAGGTTGACAAAGTGCTGCGCCTGCCACGAAATCTGCACTTCCAGGTTCACAAAGTGCTGTGCTTGCCACGAAATCTGCACATCGAGGGTCACAGAATGCTGTGCCTGCCACGAAATCTGCACATCAAGGGTCACAGAGTGCTTTGCCTGCCACGAAATCTGCAAACGAGCCACATATCCAAAAGCCACGATTCACTGCACCTGTCACGAAATCTGAGCTCCTCGACGATCACCACCATGTCCAAAGTGCTGCACCTGCCACGAAAACTGCATTTCGAAGTAAAACAGCTCCGATCCCTTGCGCTTGTCACGAAAAGTCGACTTTGGAGCACCAAAACACGAGGTTTCCCTTGCGCCTGCCACGAAAAGTGACCACCATGTACCAAAATGCGCACGGCACCACAACGAGAGCGCAGTCGCTAGAAGCACCCGCCGCGGCCACCCAGATTCTGCGAGCCTGCGCAGTCGAAATGCACATTGATGATGTCGAGAGGCATGAATGTACTGTAAATAGCAGCGAATTAGCCGCACACGCCCGCGCGCTTCAGCGATCTAAGTATCAGCTGCTCTTCCACTGCCGTAAGAACCCCTCAGTGTGCCCACACTGTTTGGGGAAAAAATATATAAAGGGTTCCAGCGTTTATCAAGGGATTTCCCTTGTTAAAATCTTATACAGGATGGACCAATTCCAACCAATATCTGGGTGGAGGCCCTTGGAACTTTAATATTGGATGGACCAAATAATCAGGGCAGTTTGCGGGGAAGCCTCGAGCGAAAGTTTTTGGTATCTTGATGTTGCCTTTAAGTGCTTTTGCTACAAAAGCAGGGCTGCACGATGTGAATCTTGATGTGGCAGCCGCAGCGCTTTGGGAACTTCGAAGTCAACATTTTGTGGGCCTCGAAGTGCAGATTTTATCAGGCTCTCATATGTGTGCTCTCATGTGCGCGCTCTCATATGTGTGCTCTTATGTGCTCTTATATGTGTGCTCTCATATGCTTGCCAATCTTTGGTTTTGTTTCGTTCTACGTACGAACACTGTTGGGGATCTCTTGCCGCGATCTGCTTCTTTCCGGTCTTGAAGCTTTGACATTTTTGGACGCAATACCGCTTGAGGAATCATGGGCTGCTCGACGTTGTTGTTGGTGCTGCCAACCAATGGGGGACTTTGGACTGATGGACACACTCCTGGGTGGACAACGCACTCATTGAGGTCCTCATTGAGATCCGGGTCGTTGAATAGTCCACTCTTTAGACTTACCGGATGCATGCATAAATTGATATTAAATTCATGATGCTGTCACTACCTGGTGAAATCTGCTGCCAAAAAATGGGGGTTTGATGGCGAAGTCCTATTAAACCGTTTGGGACTGCATTGACACATATTACTATTCTGTGACGCTCAAAGAACAACACCCCAAAAACCAACAGGTCTTGGTACATGATTCCGATCATTGTGGGGGTGACCCCACGAATGACTGCTCATGAGGCAGCTCAACATCTTGTTCGACAGCAGTGTCATCATGAAAGGCTCTGTGAATTGGTTCTCTCTCCTGCCACGTGTTCAAAGGGAACCGTTGCCTGCTGCCAAGCAGTTGAGGCGGTCACAGATTTGAGTCCAATCTACTCGATGGAGGTGTGTGGCCTTCAACCTGTATTGATCGAGTGGAGTGCCCTAACTTCCGACAGGCAGCCAACGATCGAATACGTCGACATCCCAATTCTCAACGAGTTGGTACAGTCACGCAGTCTGAACAAACCACACATAGTCACACCGGTCTCCCCGGCACAAAAAACGACTCACCGCTTTCTCGCTCCACACGCCCGACGGTCTCCGTCCACGGCACCGTCACGCCAGCGCATGCGGCCCTCGCCAGACATGCAATCCTCGCAGAACTGACCCTTGTAGACCTCAGGAAGAAACGGTTTGGTACGATTGGGCGGAGAAAAACCCCCCAACCGGGCACAGGAAACAAACGCAAGGAGTGTGCATGGCTCATCATGGCAGCACCAGGCGGATTTCCCGGCAAGCAGTCATTGGTCAAAACTGTCCGTTGGAGAGTTCCAGAGCTTCTTGTTTGGACAAGAAATCTTGGAAATGGAAAATAGAATGCAACAAAACAAAAAAAAACATCCCGGTCGTCCAAACAAGAAGCAAAACAAGGAAACTCTTGGAAATTGAACATCTTCGAAATGGATGTTCTCCCGGTCGGCACAGAACCGCTGGTTCGTCCATGAGACGGAGCCATCGGTGCGTAGGAGTTCTCCCTGTCCATTGGCTCCTTGGATGTTGACCGAGGCATTCCATATATTCCAATTGGATATCCCGCTATCAGGTGGGAGGCCATCGCTATTAGGTGGGAGGCCATCGGTATCAGGTGGGAGGCCATCGCTTATTGAATATGGTCCATGACCAGGACCCAGTGGATAATGATGGTTAGGAGTAGCCCTATGCAGGTGTAGGAGTGGGTTTGCCTTTGTCTCGCCCCCATCCACCCTCTGTGGGCAGCAGGCTTGACCAAAAATTATGCTAGATGTGCGATATTGGCGGATTCATGCGGATTCTGTATTCCGTGTAATCCCTCCAAATCACCGTGATTGTCCCCTCAATCAGCCACAGTTGACTAACAGTTGTTAACCAATGACCGAACCACAAAACAAGTGGAAGAGGGAAAGCATCAAGTGACTTGAGTCCAGTTTCGGACAGTGATCGGAGGAGTCACCCGCATCCCAACGCCCCAGGGTGCAAAGACAATTTGATCTGCACATCTGACGAATTTCAGGCTGTCACAGTCTCACACACGGTTTGTTCTCCAAATGCTTCCAATCTTCCAGTCACCAATCTATAGGGTAGTTTCCGAGCCATGCCTTTGCCAAGCGGAGCAGATTCTCTTCATTCTTCTTTACCATCCCAAAACCTCCATCCCGCCGACAGCTTCAGCACCACTCGCTGCCGTCCAGGTGACTCCCCCGTTCGAACATGCCGGAGTATTTCGAGCCCTCGGGCCTCAACAGAGATGTTCCGTGGAGGGGAGGTGAACAAACTCCTACAAACATATAGAATCATAAGATATACCTACAACCCAGACATGACCTCCTTAGTTGGCCATATTTTGGATAGTTGATCCTCCAACATAAAGGTCACTCAGGTTCTATATTAGTTAACGGTATTTGCATTTATTTACCCTTTGGTTCAATATGGACACTGCTAACAGGGAATTTGCATTGACAAGCTTCCTTTTCCTGTTCTACCCGTTTTGACGTCCGTTTTGACGTCCGGGCAATACCATATGGAAGCAGGGATGTTGTTCATCTACGAGTTCCAAATGAACCGCACATGTTTGAGTCTGGAACTGCGGAATAGATTCTGAAGGCAGGGGGACGAACCACGGAAATCGATTCAACCTAGCAATGGCCAACCTAAGAGCTGATGTCCTGCTTGGATCCCTGGAGATTCCCTAAACGGAATCTGCTCCATGTTTGAGCTTTCTGTCCTGATCGTTGACATCTGAGGCGCCATTTCATGACACCATAGCCATGTCGCATTCCAGCAACATAGTGGCCTCGGAGTCTGGCCATTGAAGCTACTAGTAACAAAGGGCGTTGCTACAAGTGCTAGGAGCAAGGACGCTACTAGGGGGGCTCCTGGCCTTACTACTAGGAACAAGAAGCTACTAGGGGCTCCTGGCCGTGCTACTAGTAGCAAAGGGCATTTCTACTAGTGGCCTCGGAGTCTGGCTCACCAAGACAAAGGGGCAGCCATTGGCGTTTGGGGGAGGACTTTGCGACTTTGCGGCATCTGCTGCATCTGAGGTGTCGGAAGAGGTGGACGGGTAGACTGTAGGGAGACCATGGGAGACACCTCAAGGATCTTCTGGCCAAAGAAAATCAAAGAAAGAAAAGAAACAAAAAGAAACAAAAGGAAAAACAAAGAGCAAAGCAAAAGAAGAACAGCAAAGAGCAAAACACAAGACAGCTCTTTTTTCGGCCATGAAGTGCCATGAAGTCTTCCATGTCTTCCATGTCTTCCACCGGGCGAGAAGCGGGGACGACCGTCTTCCCCGCCTTCGAAGGTCGTCCCGTCGGGACAAAACTCCTTGCCCTCGGAAGGAGAAGATGTGGTGAACGAATCCAACGACGTTTTTTTCAAGTCAGAAAATCATGACTATAAAATTGCTTTTTTGTTCAATTCACAATCCTTCATTACAAATGGTGATGTGGATATCATGCGTTTGTTCTTTCGATTTTGGAGCGAAAAAGGACTTGGACATCAGACATTGATCTTTTCGAGGGCGACGTACTAACATAATATATCGATGTATGGAATACAAAATTTCCCGCGGTTCTTTGGTTGGTATAGAAGGATTGCCAACTGCATCTGCTGATCCTCTCTGTGGGATTACTCATGTCTGCAGGCCAACTGCTTCAGTCTACTAGCAATCAGCCCTATAGGTCGTTTGGCGCTTTCCAACTCCGTGAACTTGGAGTGAAAGTCAAAAAGGCTCTGAGTCTTGTCTCTGTCCATACACCACCTCAAGCCCTGCCCCGGCCTCTCCATGTCTCTCGTCATTTTTCCACTGCGCCACGTAGCGTGTGCCATCGGACAAGGTCAAGACCTCAGTGCCACCCCATTCAAAGGTCTAGACCTTCAATTCTTGAGCTGGCCAACTGTTTGATTTGGTCATTCTTCTTGGTCATTCTGCCTCACCGTGATCATTTCTTCACCTGCCATCCAGTGGCTTCAAGGTTGGCCTTAGATGGAGACTCTTGGTTGAATTCACTGAAGATGAAATTAGTTAAGCTTTCGAGTGGGCATCGCGGCATCCCTATGAAAAAAGGTCAGTGAAGAACCTTTGGATCTTGGAAGTTTCAAAAATACCTTTGCAGGGCAAAAAACACTTTTGTAGAGGGGGCTCCTTTTGACAATTTGAGTATGGCAGGCTGAAGGCAACTGAATTTTCCTGGACCTCCATGTCTCTCGATTTTTTTGCTTGCTTAGGGGGCAAGTGGTGACCTTCAATCCGTGCCAGAAAATAGTGCACTGAGTTGCCCTAAACCTGCCCTTTCTACCGCCCAGCGCGTCCTTCACTACGCCACTACGCCGCTCGGACGTCGCTTGGGACTTCGCACCCCTTGCCCGTGCCGCATCGAGTTGTTAAACCTCGCTGCGTTCGGGAAGGACACAGAAGAGTGCCGGAGGATGGGGAAGAAACGCGCATGTCTGGGTCACAGGTAGCCCGAAGTAGTTTACTAGTCCAAACCAAACCAAAATGCTAGAATTTGTGAAGAGACCCTTGAATTAGTGAAGGAATTGAGAGAGGCTTGAAGAAACTCCTGGAACTTGGGCTTGCGACAGGACGCAAAAACAAAGAAGAACACCTGTAGCAACAAGTATCTTCTACTTCATCACTTATGGGTCTAAAAATGTCTAAAAGCAAAGAGCATCGCTACTAGGAACAAGGACGCTGCTAGGGGCTCCTGGCCTTAGTAATTACTATAGGAACAATCAGTGGCTCCTGGCATCGCTACTAGGAGCATTCTTACATATCCACACTTCCAACGCCGAGGCCTCGCCCTGACCTACTGAGGCATCCACTGTCCCTCATAGGTCGAGCGGTTCGGATAGGTCACTTTGCCCGTCCCGCTCTTTGGACCTGCGTCATCTCTCAGGACCGACGACCACACCGACGCCGCCCCACGTACCGGAGACGTGGACCGTGGCCGGGGACATCGTACCTAGTAGCGACGTCTGCGAATCCATTCGCAGGCTGTTCTTGTGTCTAGCGCGTGCTGTCCATTCACAACGGGCAATGGACAAGTATCAGACTTCTCCATATATTCCCTGCACGCCCCCACGCCGATGGCTGTGCCTTGACTTGCTTTCACCGCTGGCGAGCTACTTGCAGCCATCACACCTCAAGCAATGTGATATCCGGAGCAGGTAAACCTACTCGCCACATGATCACCCAACATGATCTGAAGAACGCTTCCATGAATCGGCCCCTTCCATTAACGGTTCCAAAAGGGGTCTCTGACATGTCTCTAAGTCTCATTCGTCCACCAACCGCCAACAAAAAGCAGAAACCGTCGAGTTGAAGGCCCCGAAAGCTGGAGATGGAGGCCCGCGTGGGCGCGAAATGGAACCGGAAGGAACGGAAGGAAGGAGTCCGAGCTGACCTTTATACACCTATATATGGAACCTGAGTGTCCATTTTGGAGGATCAACTATCCAAACTCCAAACTATGGCCAACGATCCCATCAAAAAGGAGGTCATGTCTGTGTTCTCTCTCTATAAGTATATTATATATATATATATATTCCACGAATCCCGAGCCTCGGTTCTTGATCTTCAAGAGGTAGAGGATGCAGTATCCGCAGGTGTCCCTTTGGGACTGGTCTGACCTCGGCTTGGAGGGGTCGCCGTCCAGGGCGGTCCAGGGCGACCCTAGGGCGGTCAAGACCTACGTGGAGGTCTGGATGAACCTCCGCTCGAGGTATCCGCATGCTGAAGCGCATTGACAACAAAAGAAAGCTGCAATGAAACAATATGTTTTTACCAAAGAAAGAAAGAAAGAAAGAAAAAAAGAGAGAGAGAGAGAGAGACGCTACTAGGGGCGCTCCTGGCCTCACTACTAGGAGCAAGGACGCTAC